GCGGGACTAGAGAGGCACGCCAGAGCACGGCCGGGGGCGCGAGCCGCCATCTTGGACTGTGAGGCGAGTATTTGCCACCGGGAGCTCGCCGCCGCCCCTACACCGCCGCGGCCGCCCTCCCGAGGCCAGATAATAGCCCAAGTCGAAGAGTGCGCCCCGCCCTCGGTATCTGGGTGGCAGGCGGGACTAGAGAGGCACGCCAGAGCACGGCCGGGGGCGCGAGCCGCCATCTTGGACTGTGAGGCGAGTATTTGCCACCGGGAGCTCGCCGCCGCCCCTACACCGCCGCGGCCGCCCTCCCAATGCGTCGAGAATGATACTCTCGACTGCAAATACTCCCAATACTCGCCTGCTGAGAGAGAGTTCATCCCACCATCGGCACCGTATTCGCCCACAGCACGCCAGTGTGAAGTGAGTGTCAGAGTGTCGGAACTCGGTGGGAGCATCCGTCACGTTCACACTCGCTCGCGGAAAAGTGAAATTTCGTTTCACATGAAATGTGAAGTGAAAGTGAAAGTGAAATCGATTCGCTGTTTCCATGTGAAATCACGATACACGAACCCTGTGCGACACACACGCGCGCGCTGTCCTTCAGCCTGCGCTGATAGTACTCGTGCTCGGCTTCAAAGTTGTGGAAGCGTCTGCTGCCGGAGGCGTCGAGTGCTGATTGGTTGCCCCAGTAGTGAAAGGTCTTTTGGGGGCTGTCCTGAAAGCCAAAGAGCGACACCGAGCTGCAGAGCAAAAGCGCCGCGTGGACAGCGTAGAAGCCTGCCGACGGCAACTTGAACGCCTTTGATCTTTCCTTTGGCGCCGGCTTATCGACCAACGAGTCGGTGTGATGTACGTTGGATGTAGTCACCGCCCTGGCGCTGTGGTCCTCCATGGCGATCCGAAATACGTCGACGATCGCACCGCTGCGGTGCCGTTTGGCGAGTGATTCCGAGAGCTTGAACGCCTTTAGTTTGCCAAAGGGCGGCGGCACGACGCATTTGCTATTGTTCATCTGATTGAGCAGCGCGACCAGCCGCGCGTCGTTGTCCGGCACGGGCCCGCCCTTGACCCATTCGTCGCTATAGAAGAGGAGCGAGACGTTGTCGGCACAGGCCCGCAAACGCGCACGTGCAGCCCGCGTAGCATTCACGCGGATGGTGTTATTCACGCTGTCGGCGCCGGCAGACAGCTGACGACCGTTGTGGCTGTTGACGAGCTGCACTGTCGTGCGGGCGCCCACGTCCGCCTGCGAAGTTCATACGAAAAAAAAAATTGCAGGTCCTCTCTCTATCCTCTCTTGGAGCTCCAGAGTCCACACCCCCCTGCCCCGGGATCGCGTACAAGCTATGGCTACCGTAGGCCACACTAGCGTCGCTGGGGGTTCCCTGCCCTAGATGGGAAGCTGGCCGCTGATCCGAAGACCGACTGCACCAGGGCGCCTAGATATACTCGAGGTGAGCGAGGGTGAAGTTACGCCTTAAATGCCGGCCTCTCTACTGTGGACCTTACTCCGCGCTCGTTGGCTCCTCCTATTCCCCCACCCCCCCTCCCCCCCCACTCTCTCCGAGTAAGGGCGTGCGCTACGTCCCCAAGGGGGGGGGGACGTGGGGGGGAGGTGTGACTTTTAGGCTGTGGCGTTTGGGTTTTTGTTGGGCACCCAAACGGTTTCGGTTTTCCTCCTTGGTGCCCCGAGTAGAGCGTGATCTCCCCTGGAGTCTGTCGCGCCCGTTCTGTCTAAGCTCGAGGTTCAACCTTCCAGTTGATCCTTATCGGACTGGTGAGGTCTGCCTAGCCGTCGTAGTGTAGTGCCTGGGGTGCGTCTGCGTCGGTGCTACACACACTCGGCAGGACGCTGCTCTAGGTCGTTGCTGCTGGTCGTCGCTCTCGGGGGGGAGGGGGGAAGTGGGTTCCGGTGTTTTTTCTTTGCACTATGCACATACGTAAAATTTGCGCTTAGTGCAAAGTGCAAAGTGCAAAGTCCAAAGACCAAAGTGCAAGTCGCCCTCGTGTTTTTCTTTTTATGCTTTGGCAGTAAAAAGAACTGTGTGCGGCAGGCGCAGGCTCGGCCGATATCCAATACTTCGACTCACATCTTCGCTGCGGTGTGCCTGGGGAGGCGCGGCGGCGGGGTGGATTGAGAAGGCTCAGAGTGCAGAGAGACTGCAGGCGTGCAGAGGCGCGCGCTGCAGTTTCTCTGATCGGGCTGCTGGCGGTGTGAGCGCGGGGTGGCGTGGTGAGGCGTGAGGCAGGCTATTGTTGTGGAGTGCGGGCTGCATCGTCAGGCGTATGCGTGCACATGGTGCTGTATGCTGTGTGTGCAGGCTGGCAGTCTGTGCAGCAGAGAGCGGAAGCGCGCGCGCGCGCGCGCGCGCGCGTGCGGGCGTGCGTGCGCGCCTGCGCGGTGCCGGATCTGCGTCTCACTCGCGGCGCGTCCTGGTACAGCCGCTTATGAGATGCCAGAAGCAGTCTGCAGAGCCTGCACAGGGCGCAAAAAGGCGCAGGTGTGCTATGCTGCGGCGCGCGCGTCGCGGCGTGAGTGGATATGCGGCTTGCTCTGGTAGTGCGAGGGGCGCGCAGCTGGTGCGGGCGGCGCGGGACGGCCATGGGGCGCCAGCACAGGGCAGACGCACATGGGCACAGCTCTGAAATGGCGCTGCGCGTGTTTGCGTGCGCGCGGGGACGTACGCGCAGTTTTCACGCGGTGTGCCTGGAGAAGGGCATGAGAGGCGCCGGCCGCGCGTGTATTGGCGTGTGGGAGTTCGGAGTATGCCCGGAGGGCGTGATGGTGCCCGAAGGGCGGTCCTCCATGCGGAGGTGAACCTTTTCAAAAAGAAACGAAGTTCATACGAAACACGACCGGGGCTGCATCCACAACCGGGCCGCACTGTGACCCTATCATGGCCCCAGAACTCGCCACGACAGCACAGTGAGGCCTCACAGCAGTGCTGCCGAGCCGTGCAGTGGGCAGCACGGGCGAAAACGCGGGACCTGCAAAGGACAAGCTGCACCCAGCGTGCGGCAGAGCTCTCGAGCTGAGGGAGGTAACGCGGGTCTGGCTGACGCTGATCCGCTGATGGTTGCACTGGCGCACCGGGGCGAGAAGCAGGGCGAGCATAATACAATGGTTTACCGCGGGGTCTCGATGCCGTAGGGACGCGGCGCGGCACATACACCAACCTTCGCGAATGCCCGAATACTTTGTAGACGTGAATGTTTAGAGCTCGCCCGCTAGCCATTTTACGTACGGCTTTGCCTATGGGCTGGGGTGAACACTTGAACAACATTACGAGGCGGCCCACCCGTCGCCGATGCCGAGGCGAGGAGGGGCCGCGCCGCGGTTGGCGCTGCTGGGCAAGCAGCGGTCGAGCGTGACGGCGCACCTCCGCACAGGCGGCGCGTCGAGCTCCGCGTCCGCCGTCTCCAGGTCTGCCACCATCTGCACCGCCTCCTGCGCAGCCGAGGTGCGACGACGCTTGGGCGGCCGCTCGTCGCACCGCCTCGCGTTGTCTGCGGAGCTTCCGGCCGGTCCTCGGCTTAGCGCGCCCGGCGGCGCATGCGGGAGGGCCGCCTCGACCTCGAGTGCCTGAGCGACGGCACTCGCAAAGGGCGCGCGAAGGTGCTTCCACTTTGGCCGCCCAAAGTCCTTGCCCCAGCGCGTGGCGTCGAAGAGGCGCTCGTCCTCGCGGAGCGACTTGATGCAGCTCGCGCGCTCGAGTGTCGCCACGTTGCCCGTGCCGCAGAAGCGCACCCGCACCGACTCGCCCTCCTCCGCGCTGATGAGTGCAGGCCACCAAGGCGAGCCGCGTAGCTTGGCCCAGCACGGAGAGCCGGCAGCCAGGCCAGCGGAGCCCGTGCAGCCGGAGAGGTGCAAACGCAACCCCTCGGCCTGCGGCGGCACATCCTCCTCCTCCGCCGCCGCCGCTGCCTCCTCCGCCTCCTCTGCCTCCATCGCCTCCATCTCCCTGGCCTCCACAGCCTCTTCCTCCTCCGTCTCCCCCGCCTCCGCCTCCCCCGCCGCCGCTGCTGCCCGCGCTGGCCCTCCCGCGCCTGCCGCCTCCGCCTGCCCGACCGCCCGCGCGTACGCCACCGCCGCCTCCACCGCCGTGTCGAAGTAGCCGAGGCCTACCAGCCTTCCGTCCACCCAGTGCTGCGCCGAGAAGCGGCCAGAGGGGCGCCGCGCTACTCCTTTGTAGCCGGTGCCGCCGCTGCTCGAGAGGTGCAGACGCAGCCCCTCCGCCTCAGTCGCCACCGTCGGAGGAGCCGGAGGCTGGTACTCGCCGACCGCACGCGCGTACGCCACCGCCGCCTCCACCGCCGTGTCGAACTTGCCGATGGAGCCCAGCCTTCCACCCACCCTGCGCTGCGCCTTGAAGCGGCCAGAGTGCTCGTACACGCCCTTGTAGCCGGTGGCGTTGCTGCTGGAGAGGTGCAGACGCAGCCCCTCCGCCTCTGTCACGAGCGGCGCGGCGGCGGAAACGGCCGCCGTGCCTGCGGCCTCCGCCGCCTCTTCCTCCTCCGGCGCCCCCTCTGCGCCCTCCTCCTCCTCCGCCGCCGCCGCCGCTGCCTCCTCCGCCTCCTCTGCCTCCATCGCCTCCATCTCCCTGGCCTCCACAGCCTCTTCCTCCTCCTCGCCGCCCTCCTCCTCGCCGCCTACTTCGTCGCCCTCCTCCGCCGGCACCGCCGCCGCGCCTGCCGCCTCCGCCTGCCCGACCGCCCGCGCGTACGCCACCGCCGCCTCCACCGCCGTGGCGAAGGAGCCCAAGTAGACCATCCTTCCACCCACCCTGCGCTGCGCCTTGAAGCGGCTCCTGTCCGCGCGCACGCCACTGTACCCGGTGCTGGTGCTGCTCGAGAGGTGCAGCTGCAGTCCCTCCGCCTCTGTCACGAGCGGCGCGGCGGGTGCAGCCTCCCTGTGCGGCGGAGGCGGCGGAGGCGGCGGCGAGGCGGTAAAACCTGCTGAGCCCGCCTCCGCCTCCTCCGCCGTCTCTCCCTTCTCCCCGCCTGCTGAGCCCTCCGCCTCCGCTTCCTCCGCCTGCTCCACCTCCATCCCCTCCGCCTCCGCGCCCTCCGCCGACCCTGCCTCCTCCGCGGCCCGCTCTGGCCCTCTCGCCTTTCCCGCCTTCGCCCGCGCGTACGCCACCGCCGCCTCCACCGCCGTGGCGAAGGAGCCCAAGTAGACCTGCCTTCCGCCCACCTTGTGCTGCACCTGGTAGCGGCCAGAGGGTAGCTTGCCCACGTTCTTGTAGCCGGTGCTGCTGCTGCTCGAGAGGTGCAGCCGCAGCCCCTCCGCCTCTGTCGCCACCGTCGGAGGAGCCGGAGGCTGGTACTCGCCGCCCGCCCGCGCGTACGCCACCGCCGCCTCCACCGCCGTGGCGAAGGAGCCCAAGTAGACCATCCTTCCACCCACCCTGCGCTGCGCCTTGAAGCGGCTCCTGTCCGCGCGCACGCCACTGTAGCCGGTGCTGGTGCTGCTCGAGAGGTGCAGCTGCAGTCCCTCCGCCTCTGTCACGAGCGGCGCGGCGGGTGCAGCCTCCCTGTGCGGCGGAGGCCCTGCTGAGCCCGCTGCCGCCTCCGCCTCCTCCACCTCCATCCCCTCCCCGCTCGCTCGCTCCTGCTCCTCCCACTCGCCCTCTCCCACCTCTCGCAGCATCTCGTGCAGCGAGACGTCCTCCAGCAACTCGCCGTCGTCGCACCGCACCGAGTACAGGCTCGACGCACCGTCAAAGCCCACGACCTCGCCCGGGTACAAGGCGCCGTCAGAGTACTGTACAGCGACGCGGCCTCCCACCTGGAAGTGGCTCTCCTCCTCGCCGCCACCGCTCCACCCGCCCTCCTCGCCGCCCTCCTCCTCGCCGCCTACTTCGTCGCCCTCCTCCGCCGCGCCTGCCGCCTCCGTCTGCCCGACCGCCCGCGCGTATGCCACCGCCGCCTCCACCGCCGTGTCGAAGTAGCCGAGGGAGACCTTTCGTCCGTTCACCTTGTGCTGCGCCTGGAAGCGGCTCCTGCGGCCAGAGGCGTGCTGGAACACGCACCTGTAGCCGGCGTTGCTGCTGCTCGAGAGGTGCAGCCGCAGCCCGTCCGCCTCCGTCGCCACCGTCGGAGGCTGGTACTCGCCGACCGCACGCGCCCACGCCACCGCCGCCTCCACCGCCGTGTTGAAGGTGCCGATGGAGAGCAGCCTTCCACCCACCCTGCGCTGCGCCTTGAAGCGGCTCCTGTCCGCGCGCACGCCCTTGTACCCGGTGCTGCTGCTGCTGGAGAGGTGCAAGCGTAGCCCCTCCGCCTCTGTCACGAGCGGCGCGGCGGGTGCAGCCTCCCTGTGCGGCGGAGGCGGCGGAGGCGGCGGCGAGGCGGTAAAACCTGCTGAGCCCGCCTCCGCCTCCGCCTCCTCCGCCGTCTCTCCCTCCGCGTCGTCCGCAACCCCTGCCGCCGCTGCCGCCCGCACTGGCCCTCCCGAGCTTGACGTCTCCGCCTGCCCCGCCACCCGCGCGTGTCCACCCGCCGCCTCCGCCGCCGCCCTGGCCCTGCCCGCACGACTGGTGGCGAAGCGCTGCAGCGCCTCGAGCAGCTCGTACTCCTCCTGTGCGAGCGGAGGCGAGGGGAGGGTGAGGCATAGCGGTCCCGAGGGGCGGTGCAGCGACGAGGCGGTGCTGACGGCGATGAGGCTGGGTGTGCGCACCAGATCCTCTTCATCCCCGTCCGCATGCCGGATGCGCCAAAGCGCGGGCTCGTCATCCGCGCCCGCCGGCAGGTAGAGCTGAACCACGGCATGGACGTGCCCGTGGCCCTTGAGGCGCCGCAGCACCCTAGCCCCAACGCGAGGCCCGTCGCTGAGCCAGTCCGACTCGACCGGAGAATGGCCGGCAGCCTCGGGAACAGCAGGCGTAAGCTCGGACAGGTTGATGCGGACGCTGCCGCCGCTGTGTGCCTGGGCAGCTGCAGGCGATGCCGCACTGATTACGGCTCTGCTGCTGTTTCGGCTGCTCGGCCACGCCCAGCGGCAGACGTGCATTCGCTTTCGCGCTCCACAATAGGGGCAGAGCGACCTGTCTGGGTGCAGCCCGCTAGACTCGGCCTGGTAGCGAAAGGACTTGGAGATGGACATGGCAGGTAGGTGCAACGGGAGAAGAGAGAGGGCGAGCCGCTCAGGCAGCCGCTCCAGGCTCAGGCTGGTACCGTCTGGTGCGGTCTCGCCCCCAGACTCACACGACACACACCTTTGATTTTTGGGCCCCGGGGCGGCTAAACGCGCTCTCTTCGCACAGGAAAGGGTGGGAGGGAGGGAGGGGGGTGCGGGGGGGAGGGAGGGAGGGAGGGAGGGAGGGGGATGCGGGGGGGGGGGGAGGGAGGAAGGATGGTTCTTCATCCCCGACACTGGACAAACTTAAGTTTGATTAAAAGTTTGGTTCGTCAGCGATGCAGCAGGCTGGAGAGAAGAGTGACAAGGGGAAGGAGGAGGTGAAACAGCGAGAGGAGAGAAAGTGCATTCAAACAGAGGAACGGAAGGACATATATGACGAGCACGGCAAGTACAAATTTACTCGAGGATGCACCGTCTTTGACGAACGAGCAAGGCCGCTACAAGTTTACTTGGGGCCCACCAAAGCAAAACTTTAAATGTACTCACTGAGAGCCGGCGTCGACTGGTTGGGAGAGAGCGCGATTTCGAGTCCTTAGAAGGAAGCGATCTTTCTCGGCCGACGCTCGGCCGACGTCCGCAGGCACAGCGGGCACGGCCACGGATCCCAGTAGCACTGGCTCGGCACGGCCACGGGTCCCAGTAGCACTAGCTCGGCACGGCCGCGGGTCCCAGTAGCACCGGCTCGGCGCGGCCGCAGTTTGCGGTCCTGAGCTTGCGCACACTGCGCGGGCGAGGAACAAACTTAAGTTTGGATTGCAGTCTCACAGTGTGCCGGCAGTCGCCGAGCAGTGTCGCTCACACAAGCCGCAGCACAAGTGACTGAGGGCCAGTGAGGGCGAGCCCATCGCTGTCACAGCTGTGGCAGCCGCACAGTAGGCTGCGCGAGATCGCCCAGGGCGGCTAAGCGCGCGCTCTTCGCACAGGAAAGGGTGGGAGGGAGGGAGGGGGTGCAGGGGGAGAGAGTTTTCAGAACGAGTTTTCGTGTGGGGGCTCCGACACTCCGTCGTTGCGTCGACCGTCGCACTGCACGCAGCGAGACCGGCGTGTCACACCTCACGCCTCTCGTATATTCTATATATCTCGCTTCTCGTGTGTATCTCGACGAACTAAGCGAGGGGAAAACAAAACACGACCCGGCGCCGTCGGAACTGTCACTGAGTACACGTAGAGTTTGTAGAGCGGTAGCGGCGCGGACCGGGCGGTGCGTGCTGTTTCGAGCTGCAACTCGCTGCCGCAGCCGCGACAGTGCCCGCCCAGTGTAGAGCACGCGGCACATGACCGATCTCAGGGTCGCCCGCCCGTGTCACATGTCGTCGAGGATCACGCGCTGCCGCGCCTCGAAGTTGCTGCTGGGAGAGTGCCGTTCTGGAAGGTGACCCTCGCCTTGAGCCGCGGCACCGCCTTGATCACCTCGGAGAACTCCCACCAGTTTTGGAACTTGAGGCAGAGGTAGCCCTTGGGCGAGCCTGCAACAGACGGGCGGGCAGGAAGTGGGCCCGTGTGGCGCGCGCAAGGTGTGTGGCAATGAGGGGCACACCGGGCTTGGAAAAGGAGTCGTACCAGTGGTTGAGCGCGTCCATCGGCACCTCTACCATCCCGCGGATCTTGAGCACGTTGCTCTTCTTGTCAAAGATCGCAGACGTGATGCTCGACGTCCTTAGCTTGAGAGTGACGAAACCGACACCCGGCACCTCGCGCGCGGTGGTCCAGCTGAAGAGCTCCACTCCGAAGGTGACCGTGGCCTCGCCGGATTGCCACGTCCCGACCATGGTCTCCTTTATCCACTGCTGGAGTACCGGTGCCTTTTGCTTGACGTCTTGGCCGCCGACCGCGAGCAGGCGCGGCCTCTCACGCTTCTTCAGCGTCTCCTTCCAGCCGCGGCGCCACGGGCGGCACGTCCCCTTGACGGCGTGCTCCTTGGTCGGCAGCTGGGCGAGGATGTGCGGGGCGAGGTCCGGCGAGAGGAGGACCTTGGAGAGGATCCACTCGGGCTGCTCCACGCGTGCGGCGTGCTCCTCCGCCACGCGCATTGCGGCGGCGCTCCAGAGGGGCGCCTGCTCGTCGATGAAGGCGACGAGCTGCTCTGGCGAGAGGCCCGAGAGGCGGGAGCCGATGCGGTGGGCCATATGTGTCCAAAGGCTGCCGCGCGCACACTGCTTTCTTTTGTCTCACCCCCAGACTCACTCGAGACTCACACATTCGGTTTTTGGGCCCCGGGGCGGCTAAACGCGCTCTCTTCGCGTAGGAAAGAGTGGGTGGGAGGGAGGGGGGTGCGGGGGGGAGGGAGGGAGGGGGGGGGGGGTGTTGCAGGGGAGGGGAGGGTGGTTTCTCCATTTCTAAGTTTGATTAAGTTTGGTTCGTCAGCGATGCAGCAGGCTGGAGAGAAGAGTGACAAGGGGAAGGAGGAGGTGGAACAGCGAGAGGAGAGAAAGTGCATTCAAACAGAGGAACGGAAGGACATATATGACGAGCACGGCAAGTACAAATTTACTCGAGGATGCACCGTCTTTGACGAGCAAGGCCGCCTACAAGTTTACTTGGGGCCCACCAAAGCAAAACTTTAAATGTACTCACTGAGAGCCGGCGTCGACTGGTTGGGAGAGAGCGCGATTCGAGTCCTTAGAAGGAGCACTTGGAGCACTTGGAGTGCAGTCGGTAACCTCACATCCAGGGCCGGTGAGCTGAGAAGCGCATCCAGCGGGCCGGATGATCGGGATCGGGCTACGGGCTAGAGAGCCCTGACCCCTAGCTAGGGGGGTGCGCATTCGCAGGGCAAGGGCCTTAAAGTAAACACGGGTCTCCGAGGGTTAGTTCTGCGCTTTGGGTGTCCCCTAGCGGCGGAACGCCCCCTCTACTCGGAGCTAGTAAACACCAGACACTAGTTGTGAGCATGTTTTCTTTCTTTTTCTACTCGGAGCCAGTGATACGAGAATACGCACATGTTACAAGAATACACACTGCCCCCACGGAGTACCTGCACTACTCGACGATAATACAAGAAGAATACTCAGCTTGGAAGTTGCAGACGCCTATAAAGAAAAAACAGCAAGCTAAATTTCGGCGGCGAAAAAGCAAAGGACGGGCGCTTTTGATCGGCAAAGCAAAGTTGGAGTAACGGCGACCGCGTCGCCACAATGCCAGTCGCCTCTGTCGAGCAGCCTTGGCGGCGCGCATGCGCCGCAGGGTTGACCGACAGCCGCGCGCCTCAAGCCTCTCGCTCCACTCGCGGCACGACGTGCCCCGCGCGCCGGTCAGCGCAGCAGGAGTATTGCGACATGCTGCACAACGCCAAGGACAGCACTGAGAAGCTGGCGCCAGTCGCCCACCAGCATGTCTCAGCACCAGGTGAGGGAGGATGCTGCGCACGCTGATGCAGCAGGGGGTAACCACCAATCAGGCCCTCACGCCACTGCACGGCCGCCCTCGAGCACCAGCAGCCGCGCTGCGCCATGCTCAAGCTCAGGAGGCCACCCTGCTTCTCGCAGCTTTGTGCAGCGCAGCGAGCGAGCAGCGCCGCACCAGGCGGACCCATGGCGTGCGCTCAGCCAGCCGCGAGGCGGAGGCAGGCCGAGTGAGCGCGAGCCGCGCGGGAGGCCATGCCCCGCGCACCGGCGAGCGAGTGGCACGAAAGAGTGCAAGTCGCGCATGCTTTTGCGTAACGGTTCTCGCTTTTTCGAAGCGATCTTTCTCGGCCGACGCTCGGCCGACGTCCGCAGGCACAGCGGGCACGGCCACGGATCCCAGTAGCACTGGCTCGGCACGGCCACGGGTCCCAGTAGCAATAGCTCGGCACGGCCGCGGGTCCCAGTAGCACCGGCTCGGCGCGGCCGCGGTTTGCGGCCCTGAGCTTGCACACTGCGCGGGCGAGGAACAAACTTAAGTTTGAATTCCGTCTCACAGTGTGCCGGCAGTCGCCGAGCAGTGTCGCTCACACAAGCCACAGCACAAGTGACTGAGGGCCAGTGAGGGCGAGCCCATCGCTGTCACAGCTGTGGCAGCCGCACAGTAGGCTGCGCGAGATCGCCCGAGATGTCGCGGCGTGGCCGCGAGATCGCCCGAGATGGCGCGAGACCGCCCGAGATGGCGCGGCGCGGCCGCGAGATCGCCCGTTTGAATATCAGTTTTCACCACTAACATTATAAATTTACCAGTGATTTTTTTCTTTGACACCAATAAATGGGACTCCCACTAAACTTGGAAGACGTAGACAAATGGACCAATCGGAGACATCCGTGAATTCGTGAGCCTCCCTGGCGCCTGCGCCATTCTCAATGAAGAAAAGCTCAAAGAGCTAAGGGCGCGGTCGCCCTCGCCCGACTCGATGTCCTCCGCCTCACAGATCTTCTCCTCGAGCTTCTTGTAGAGGACCGTGTCGATGAGCGGCCCCACGAGCGTGTTCAGCGCCGGGATCCACAGCCGCGCCGGCGCCGAGTCCATCGCGATCATGCCGTCCTTTCTGCGGCCGCGGGTTGCGCTCGCGACGATGAGCATAGTGAGGCAGATGTCGAGGTTGTCCAAGTCGCGGAGGACGCCGGTCGCAATCTCGACCTTGTCCACAGCCGCAGCGCTGTCGCGGCATACAGACTCGGCCTCGGTCCGCACGGTCAAAAGCTCCTGGTCGAGATCCCACTCGCGCCAGAGCGTGTTGCGCATCTCGGCCGCGTCCTCGACCATGCTCTCGGACCGGACGTCGAAGTTCCGGTCGCCGGGTAGGTACATGCCCGTCACGGCGTGGTGGGCGCACTGCCGCTCCGTCTTGTCGCCCGAGTTGTAGCCCCCCGTCCCCATGAGGGTTGACGCGTGGGTCGTGTACGAGCCGGTGTGCTGGTTGCGCGAGTCGTGCCCCACACGCTCCTTGCCCTCCTCGCGGCCGACGGTCCGGTCCTGCGACGTCACCTTGTGCACGACGTCTCGTAGCTCCTTGTAGTTCAGCTTCTTCTGAACCACTTGGTCGATGGGCGGGTCAGCCTTCTTCGCCGCTTCCTTCAAGTCCTCCGGGTTCAGCTTGCCGAAGCGCGTGACCTCCGAGTGCTGGGAGACCATGGGCAGAAAACAGCCGACGCCACTCACGACCTTCTCGATCCTCTTGCTGCTGTCCTCGTCCTCCGTCTGCGCCGTCTCGTGCTTCATCCAGTTGGTCATGTTGGGGAGCTTGATCTGGCCCGTGGAGAGGAGGTAGAAGCGACGGAGCGAGATGGCGACAAACGGGCAGAAGAAGACGTTCTTGTGCGGGATGAACTCGCGCAGGCTCTCGACCTTGTCCATCTTGTGGAGCGTGTTCACGCGCCCCACATAAGGGGAGCGCTTGTTGGAGAGGAACCAAAACGGACGCCCCCCTGCATCGAGCTGAAAGATCTCGAGAGAACCCCACGACGCATCCTCAACGTTCATGTTGCGCAGCCCAAACGCGAGCATGAGCGTGACGGTCGCCGCGAGGTTGAGGCCCTTGAACACGCTCATGTTGTACATCACGAGGAGCACGCTGAAGACCGTGCCAATGTCGACGAGCGTCGACGAGCGGCCGCTGCCGAAGGGGGTGCCGGCCTGGACGTGGTTGCGCTTGGTCTGCTCACGGATGTACGCGTAGAGCTCCGCCCTCGGCGTGATGCTGGAGAAGTACGTCTGGTCCGGCTGGAACTGCTTGAAGTGGTCGGTGAAGAGGCGTCGCAGGAAGCTGGGAGGGGGGGAGGGGGGGGGGGTGAGAGGGTGCGCGGCGTTGCAGGATTACAGGAATGTACTCACGTGTCGACAGCCTTGACATGTCCGTCTTTGATCTCGGCCTTCTCGTGGTCGATCTTCTTGTTGTCGAAGAACTTCTGGTAGACGTCGTCCTTGAGGTAGTCGCGGAGGATCGGGTCGTACCAGCCGCTGCTGCACCCGTTCAACACGTTGATCTTGAGGTAATCAACCGCGGCGTCGGCGTCAGCGACGCCGAGGTGCGCGGCCATGTACTTCCCGCCAGTTTTTATGAGGGTTTTCGTGGATTCGGAGTTGCCCTGTTCGTGGAGGAGAGGTGGCGAGGAGGCAGTGAGCGAGTGGTGCGGGAGGAGGGGGAGGAGGAGCCTGTGGGGGGGAGGAAGGAAGAGTCGCGTGCGCTGCGCTGCGCGCGCTGCATGCGCGCGCCGCGTGTGTCATGGTGGGAGCTTGTCTCCACGTGTCGGGGGGGAGCTGACGAGCCAGCGCCGGCGGCGGGAGCGCTGGGCAGGGAGAACGTCGCTGGGGAGATTGTGTGACCGGGGCGGCGAGCGAGCGTTGGCGGGCATCTGGACTCGGGCGTCGCACACACAAAATCAAAAAAGAAAGGCGCGGCGCCGGCGTGGTGGGTGAGAGGGCTGGTCGTAGTGAGGGGAGGGGGGTGAACGAGTCACGCACCATCATGGTTGGTGGCGAGGAGCGGCGGCGGAGAGCGGCTCGGTGGTTACGCGCGCTTGGCGCCGGCCGTGTGTGAGTCTCGTGTGAGTCTGGACCCCACGACTTGGCGGTAGGGGGGCGGAAGAGAGCGGCCGAGGTTTTCTTTTTGGCACACCGTCCTCCTCCTCCCCGAACAAGCTGGCGTCACCCGAACAAGCGCGCCGACACCGCCGCCTCGGGCGGGGCGGAAAGCGCGTCGGCCGCGGAGCGCAGGACGGACCGCTCGCACGCGCGGAGGCGGGAGCAGACGCAGTGCACCTCGGCACTGACGCCTTGCAGCCGAGACATGGTCGGAGCGAGGCCGAGGGCGGCCTCCCTGTCGGCGACCGCGGCGGCAGCCACCTGCCGCGCGCGCTCCATCACCGCCCGCCGCCCGCCGCCGCCCAGGAGAGCGGCGTGCAGCAGGCTCGGCCACGGGTCGCCCTCCTCGCCGCCCTCCTCCTCGCCGACCCGAGCCAGCGAGCGCCGCTCCGACTCGCTCGCGCCAACCACGCCGCCGAGCAGCGCCGCCGCCGCACGGTCGTCGTCCCCCGCGCCGCCCTCCGCGCCGCCCGCGTCCAGCGCGCCGACGGCGCACCGCCACTCCGCCTCCGGCGCCAGCAGCAGCAAGGCCGCCCCCACCAGCCGAGCAGTGCCCTCGCCGCGCGGACCGAGCTCGAATGTGAGCTGGTCGACGCCGTCCCACGGGCTGGGCTCGACGGCGCCGCTCCGCTCGAGCGCACCGCTTCGCTCCCGCACCAGCCGGGAAGAACCGCCGCCCTCCTCCCCGCCGCCCTCCTCCCCGCCGCCACCGCTCGCGGCGTGCACGGCCCGCGCCAGCGCCCCGAGCGAGACCTGAACGACGTCGTCGCCGTCGCCGTCGTCGCTGTCGTCGCTGCCGCTCCCGTCCTCCTCCCCCTCTGCGGCGGGGGGCGGGGCGAAGCCGCACCTGTAGACGAGGTCCGCCTACCAAGTCCGCAGCGCCAGGCACGTCAGGTGGCGCGGCACGACTGCCATCCGAGGCACATCCGAGGCAGGCATGGCGAGGGCGTGCCGTGGCGCCGCCGTAGGCCTGGGTCAGCTCCTCGCCCGCGCGGATGCGCCTGCGGCAGGGAAGTGACACAGTGTGGCGACAGCGGCCTCCATGTCGAGAAGGCGGGCGTGGCGGGCGGCTGCTGCGGTAGGGTCGGGCGGGGAGGCTGGTGTGGCGGACCTCGTCGCGACGCCCACCACCCACTTCGAGCCGCGCGGCTCAAAGGAGACGTTTGGCCGGCGCGCCCAGTTGAGCGTCGTGTTGAAGGGGGCGATGCAGCCGCCCCACCACGGGTTGGCGTGCGACGCGGCGAGCGCGCAGAGCTCCGCGTACCGCTCCGCGCCGCAGGCCTCCGCCACGGCCTGCGGGAGCGAGGCGTGCTCCTCGGCGAGCGCGCGGAGCTTGGCCTCGACGACGGGCTCGAGCTCCGTGCCGTCGAGCAGCCGCCGCTCCGACTCGCTCCACACCCACGGGCACCGCGCCGGCGTCAGCATCGCGAGGAACGGCGCCCAGTCGGCAGTGGCCTCGAGAAGCGCGAGGGCGAGGCGCCGCTGACAGTCGCCGTCCGTGACGTCCGCGTCGGCGCCCGCGGAGGTTGCGCCGAGGCACGCGGCGCGCGGCACGCGGAAGAGCTCCTCGCCTCGCCGCAGAGGCTGGAGCGCGACACAGCCGTAGCCCGCCACCACGCCCTCCCTCGTTGTCGCGACGCGCGCGCTAGACCAGACGACGCCGCGGCTCTTGAGCCAGCGGGCAAGCGTGGCGGCCAGCGGGTCGCCGCCCGCAGCCTCGGTGGAAGGAGGCGGCCGCTGCTTGCGCTTCCTGCTCATAGCACGTGGAAAGAGGAGAAACTCGCTCGCGAAAGAGGAACAAAACAACCTGCAAAGGAAGGAGAAAGAAAAAGAGGCGTGTTTTTCGGAGGAAGGAAGGTCAGTAAAAAAGAATTTCGCCGCCCAACTCCCACTCCCGCTCCTCCGCTCCTCCAAGGGATGGCCGCCACCGTGCACGCGCAGAACGCCTCGCACAAGATCGTGCAGGAGGCCGGCACTTTCAAGTCAAACACCAAAGTCTGCATCGACAGGCGTGCGCCGCCGCGGCGAGCGCGGCCTACCCGCCGCCTCCGAGAGCCGCGCTCTCCCCGCGCTAGGCTCATCGAGAAGGCGAACGACCTGGTGGACAGCCGGGCCGACCTGGGCGATGAGCGCACCCTCGCGATGCTCGACAAGTGCGAGGCGGTGCTGCGCGACCTGATCAGCTCGGAGGCCGCCGCGAATGCACGTGCGCGCGCTCCTGACGGTCCACGCCCGCCCCAATCGCTGCGCTGAGAGCGCCCGTCGCCGTCCCGCCCTCCAGTCGGAAGCGTCAACGACTACCTCTCCTCCGCCGCGCCGAGCGCGCCCGACGAGCTCGAGGCCGGCTTCAAGGAGCACCTCGAGAGCGCCGCCTCGCGGCAGCGGGCGGGAGGCAGCGGCGACGGGGGCGACGCCGCCTTCCGGGCGCACCCCGATGCGCGCCAGCTGGCGAGCCTGCGGGAGCGGATTGCCGGCGGTTCCGGCTCTGGCGACGACGACGATCCCGTCATGACGCAGCAGACGCTCAACTTCACTTGCCCCATCCTGCAGACGCGGATGAGCGACAAGGGCGAGCTGCGGCCGATGAGCGCGGCGCATCTGCCCGGCCACACCCCCCGCTGCGTCTTCTCGCACAAGGGCATCCACAGCTGGCTGGTTGGCAGCCGGCGCAGCCAGTGCCCCGTCTGCAAGACCCCCACCACCTTCAGCACCCTCAAGGAGTGCAAGTCGACGGCGCGCCAGATCCGGAGCAGCGCACACGCCGCCGACGACGACATGCCCGACGCCACGCCCGTCGACTGATGCGTCGGCTGGAGGCGTCGATCATCTCGGGCCTCCCAGCCCCGTAAAGGGGCACACGCCTCTGGAGGGCTCTCGGGCCTCGGATGGCGCGGCGGGGGGGTGACGCGGCTGGACGGCGGCGACGCCACGCCGTGGCGGGCTCTGGTGTATCGTTATCGAGCCGGCGCGCCGGCGGGGACGCGCAGGGGGTGGGTGTCGACTGGCGTATTGAGACGGCGCGTGTGCTGCTCTCTACCGGCTCGGTCAGAGCCGGGCCCCGAGCGCGCCTTGGAGCTCTTGCGGCGCGGCGCGCAACCCGCACGCCGCAGAGGCGTGTGATGGTGGGGGCTCAAAGCAACCACACACACACTACACACACGGTATGGCATACGGGAGTAATTTTTTCATGTGAACGTTCTTCTGGACGCCACAACACGTAGTCTCCCGGGACATGCGCAGCGAGGGGGTCGACACACCACAGATTATAGATTATAGATACAATGAATCTTCTCCGAAGACCGCGCCATCACGCCGTCGGAGGGGTCGAGGCACGCGGCTCCCGCGTCCCGGAACCGCCCGGTGGCGTGCGAACGGCGGGCGCGGCTGCCGTTGGCGGGACGCGGCCCCGTCCCCCTCCGCGGCCGGTCCGGCGGCGGTGGCTCCCCGGTGGCTCCCCGCGCGGAGCGGCTAGTCCGAGTCGTCGTTGTCGTAGTCGTGCTCCATGAAATCGACCTTGTACCGGAGGATGCCTCCCACCCCGCCAAACCCCTTGACAAACTGCGAGCCTGTCGCGGGGCGGGAGAGGGCTGCGTCAGGCCGCGCCCCCCGCGCTGGAGAGGGGCGGCGCAGGGCGGCGGCGGGCGGCGCGCCCTCTTGCGAGCGGTTTGTCACAAACTCGAGCGTCGCGCCAAAGTTTTTGTAGTTGGACGCGAACCACTCGACCAGCTGCACCTTGTCGACCACCTCGAGGTCGGCGCCCTCCTGCGCGGCGAATGCTAGGCGGCCCGTCAGAGCGAGGTGTGGCGGGCGGGAGGGCACCGAGCGGGCGGTGCCTTGGAGACGAAGTTGGACTTGTCGGCCTCCTGCTCGGGCGACATGTGCCTCACCTCCTCCTCCCCTGCACGCGAGCGGCGGCGGCGGGGTGACGGGCGCGCGGCTTGCGGGGGGAGGGGCGCGAGGCCGCCGCGCGCCACTGTTTGCGTCCTTGAGCGTGTACCGCAAGGTCGCCAGGTTCTCCCACACGATGAGGATCTGCACGGCGCCCATCTCGAGCCCCTTGAGCGTGTCGTCGATCCCAAAGCAAAACTTGCCCGTGTCCTGCGAGATCTGCTCAAAGTACTGCGAGATGAGCTTCTTCTCCTGCACGAACTTGACGTTGCCCAGCGTCTCGGCCGACAGCTCAATCGCCTGCCCGCACAAACGAAGGAACGCCTCACCGCGGCAGCATGCCGCGACCGCGCCGCCCCCCGTCTGCACGGCTATCTGCGCACGGCTGGGAACTCAACCCGCCTGTGCCCTCTCTGTAGGGAGTGCCTCCTCACCCCTCGACTACCTCGCGACTACCCAGCTCGCGCCTGGTTGAAGCCGTTCTCTCCGCCGTACGACACGTCCACCGTCTTGAGCACCTTCGCGGCAGAGGGAGGCGGCAGAGGTAGGCGGCAGAGGGAGGCGGCAGAGGGAGGCGGCAGAGGTAGGCGGCAGAGGGAGGCGGCAGAGGGAGGCGGCAGAGGGAGGCGGTAGAGGGAGGCGGCAGAGGGAGGCGGGGCGGCAGGTGGGGCGGGGCGGGGGAGGCGCCCCGCTTGCGGGCGGGGCGGAGGGGAGGGCGGGGAGGGGTGGGGAGGGCGGGGAGGGTGGGGAGGGAGGGGAGGGTGGGGAGGGTGGGGAGGGTGGGGAGGGAGGGGAGGGTGGGGAGGGTGGGGAGGGTGGGAAGGGTGGGGAGGGTGGGGAGGGTGGGGAGGGTGGGGAGGGCGCGCGCTGCCTTTGCCGCGAGCCGCTGGTCGAACTTGTCCGACTCGGAGAGCACCACCTTGAAGTCTGCCGAGCCGGCCAGCACCAGCCCAGACACGTTGCACTTGTCGTTGGTGATGAACATCTGCGTCGCCATCTCGGCGCACTTGGTCACGTAGTTTTGACGCTTCTCGAGCCGCAGCCGCGCGAAGCGCAGCGCCGACTGGCCGCCGCGGCCGTGCTTCTTCGGCAGGTCGACCGAGAACTTGTGGATCACCTCTCGGTGGTTGCCCGCCAGAGTGCCGTACAAGCAGCCGTTACCTGCCGGCAGAGGGGCGAGGGGGTGGGCTGGCGGCGGCGTCCGCCCGCTCGGGCACCGGACGAGGAGCGGTCAAGGGCGGCGGGCGGGGCGGCGCCGTCGCGGGGCGGCGTTGCGGCGGTGGTGTGTGAGGTTGTGTGTGAGGCCGTGTGTCAGGCGGAGGGAGCGGTGTCGGGGCCGGTGGACCGTCCATGATGATGAACCCGAACTTGTCGTCCGACATGAGGAGCTCCTGCAGCGCCTCGGTGTGGAACTTGTTGTCGCACAGGTACAGGGACGTGTTGATCGGCTTGAAGGGCTCGAAGTCGATGTTGACCTTCCGCTCCTTGTTTTCGTCGGTCAGGATCGTGCCGCAGTAGATGACGAGACCGTTCGGAGGAACCTTGGAGAAGAGCTTGAGCCGCTGCTGGGTCGAGGTGATGGCCGAGAGGACGGAGAGGCGATTCACGCGCGACTTGATGTTGGACGCCGTGCCGTACTCCTCGGCAAGCATCTTGGACGCCTGAGAGATCTGGCTGCCCGGCGGCAGAATCAGCGAGATCATCGACGTGCCGTTCCTGCGAGCGAGGCCCGGTGAGGGCGGAGCTGATCCGTGGCCGCCCGGTCTCCTCCTCGCCACGCGGCGCAGTGCATCCCGCCCAGGCTATCGCGGCAGGGCGTCGGCGCTGCGCACCCGCGTGCCGCCTCGAGGTTCTTGACGAGCTTCTTGACCTTCCAGATTTCAATCTCGGCCTCTGCGCGCTTGTCGGCCTCGGCGTCGGCCATCGCGACAAGCACTCGCGGCGAGGGCCTCCAGCTGCTGCGGGTCGGGCGCGCTTGCAGCTACGGGGACTCGCGTGTGCAGCTACACCTCGCCGCCGCCCACGTGGCGCCGGATTTCTTTTTATCCTCTCGCTCCCCTTTCCTCCCTTGCCTTTGTTTTGCGCAGGGTGGAAGAAGAAAACACAACGGAGGGCCCATCAGCCATCTAAAATGAACCAGGAACCGCGGTCGGTGGTCCCAGCCGCCAGCGGCAGCCATTCCACCCGCGCGCACATCACGAGACGCAACGCCAGCATGCCCAAGGCTCCCTCTCACTGCGGAGGGCCGCGCAGGAAGTTTGACCGCTTCTGCCGCAGGTCGTTGATGCGGGCGCTCGAGGAGGGCAAGTTGGCCTCGTCCGCAGCCACATCCCCGAGGGAGAACTGGAGCGCGGCCGTGGCGACGAGAAGAACCTGGGGGCGGCGGCGGCGCAGAGATGTGAGAGGAACGCGCGGAATGGGGAAGGAGAGACGGTGGGAGCAAGCGCATAAAAGGAACGCGCGGCTGTGAAGGTGTGGGCAGGGGCGCGCACTAGCACGAAGCCGACGACAAGCCTGTCGTCCAACTGATTCGCGATCGCACCGCTCTCCGCCGCCGCGGACGCGGACGAGGCGGTGCCCGCGACAAGCGCTGCGGCGGCGGCAGCGGGCGTGGAGCGCAGCAGCGTCAGCGGAGCAAACGCTGGGGGCGCCGCCCGCAGCGGCGCGCCGGGCACGCGGGGTCCGACGAAGAGGGCCGCAGCGGGCGATCCGTGCAGGAGGAGGAGGAGGAGGATCGTCGTGCGAGGCAGGCGAGGCGAGACTCCACACAGCATGATCACCGCCGTTCTAGGAAAAAGAATCTTACAACAAAACTCCCTCGCACAACACTGGGCACGGGACTGGCGCGCACTGGCACGAGCACAGGTACACCGGAAAAAGAACTCGGCAAGGGGCCCCTCCAATCTCCTGCCCCACCGCTTGGTAGCAGGTAGCATCGAGGGGTGGCCTTGTCTCCCACGTCGATGCGGGCGTAGGGGTAGGCGCGGCGGCCGGAATACCACGCCGTCCGACCTCGTCGGGAGGCGCAGGACCCGGACGCCGCGAGCAGTGTCGCCCGACCCGGAGCGACACTGCGGCACCGTCGCCCGACCCGGAGCGACAGTGCCCTTCTGGACAGTACCCTTCAACCGTCGCGTCGCCTTCCACGCATTGCTGGCAGAGCCCGTAAATGTAAAATCCCCTTCAAGCGCAGGCCCTGTCTGAAGCCGCTGCTGACGCACAGCCGGGGGCACAATCAGACCTTGGGCGCTGGCCGTCGATGGGCCTTGGTGGGTTGCCTAGCAATGCGAGAAAAGACTCTGCAACGAAGAACAATGACCAACTGCGCAGCTCACCGCCGCGGACACCGCGTTCATACCGCATTGCGAGCGTTGAACTGGCGGCTGACGACTGGCACGGAGTGAGTCCACAGTCGAGTCGAATGTCGTACGACCGAACGGCCATCCGTTGGGTGGGCTGACCCCAATCTTGAACGATACGCTCACAAATCACTGCCCGCCAGCACAAGTTCGGTATCAGCAGTTGAGTCGCATCCAGTGGATCGGCAGAGTCAGGGCGGGTTCTGCACCCAGGACCTCGCCCGTTACCCGCGTCACCACTAGACGCTCATCTCATCCTGCTCAATGATACGCTGAACAGCAAACTGTCCACCCCGACCACAAACACAGTCCATCGGGCTGGTCCATGTGGTGGCGGCGCCTTGCGGTGTGCACGAGATGCGGATCCGCGTGGAGACTGCGCGCCGTCCACCAGCCGCTGAATGGCTGTACGGGCTGTTCGAGCCGACAGAACAACGACAACTGAATGCGGAAATGAATGCTCTCGGCGCCAATGCTCTGATCTGTGTAGCGCCTGCGCGTGCCGCCCTGCGCAGCGGCCCATGGGCCTTTGCGATCCACAGCGCTCCGGCCATGGCGATTGAATCATGGCGCGAGGCGCGCTGGCTCCATGGCAGCACGTTGAAGCAAAGCAGGTGGGGACGAGGACGCGCGTAAGGACGCGTCGCCATCTCTGCTGTGAATAGAGGGAGAGTGCTGCAGCGTTGGAACCGTAGCTCGGCGCCTCGCCCTCAGCAGAGCGGGCGAGAAAAGCTGAAGCTGTTCGCGCCACTTTAAACAAAAAGAATTTTAAAACACCGCGCACAACACTGCCCAAAAAAACTCGATAGAAATTGTGCCAAGCCACGATAATCCTGCCCCTGCCAGACTGCGGGTCCAAATACCCCGGCGCTCGCGCGCGCCACCGCCCCCGAGGGTGCGACTGAGCCTGCCGCGCTCGATCTGGGAGCCACTCGGCGCCAGGTCGAACGGCGGTCGGCTCGGCCACTGCGGGGCGACGCATGATAGAGCATGCTGGGCGCCGCATCATCTACTACCGCTCCACGCCAAGGCGCGGGGCGGCAGTGCTCGTCGGCGCTCGCGGCGCTTCGGTGCGCTCGGGCGCGCTCACCATGTGGTCGTTCAGGGCGGCTTGCACGCGCCTGCACACACACACACACACACACACACACACACACACACACACACACACACACACACACACACACACACACACACACACACACACACACACACACACACACACACACACACACACACACACACACACACACACACACACACACACACACACACACACACACACACACACACACACACACACACACACACACACACACACACACACACACACACACATGCACACACACACATACACAGACACACAGCCCCTTCCCCTTCCCTCTCAAGACCGCAAGGGCGAGGACACGCGTAGGCCGCACCACTAGCGAAGCCCACAGGCACGGCGTCGGCCCTCCCTCCCCCGGCGTGGCTGGCGAGCCGACCCCTGACCCACTCCCTCCGTGCGGTGCCGCGCTGTGCCACTCCCTCGACCTCGCCTCTGCGTACGGTGCGCATGGCGTGCCGACTCATTGCGTCGCCGGCTACGCCAACGCGCTCGACTGGATTTGCTTCAGCCGCGAGACGCTTCGCGTGGTTGCTGTGGCGCCGCTGCCGCCGATTGACGAGCTACGGCGCCACATGGCGATCCCAAGCGCGGAATTCCCGTCCGACCACGTCTCTTTGGTCGCAGACCTCGAGTTCTACGACTACGTGAGTCGACATGAAATTAAGGCCGCGCTCGAGACGCGTTTATCGCAAGCGTGGCATCGGCATTGCCCATAAACTACTTTACTCAGGCTTGTTTGTGAGAGAGATGTTTAGCAATACCTTAAAGAGAGGTTTACAGGTGGGGGGTAATAGAGATTATCTCGCCGTCTAGCGCGCGGGAAGCCTCGGCGCCGGAACACGAGAGCCGGAGGAACGCGGAAGAGGGCAAGAGCGGATCGGCGCGGGAGCTGCGAGAGCTGAAGTTCAAGATCGCGGCGGAGCTGCGAGCTGGACGGTCAATACCAAACAACCATGCAAGCAACTCTTAACACTCCACATCTTCATTCACCCACGCTCTAGGAGGGAGGCCTCGGAGGGAGCCACGACGCCAGCCACGGCCGTGAGAGTGATTCCGCGATCCCTACACACGGCATCTAGCTCTGGCGAGTTGCTGCCCATGAGGAGGACCTGGACGACACGCAGGAAGAGGTTCGATTAGTGTGGGGCGAGTATGGGCGAGGGAGGGTGGGGGGGGGGGGTGCGTCTTGCGCCTGCAAGCTCGGGGCGGCCCCCTCCTTGAGGGCAGCGGCCAGCGCCTTGCAACCCTCGTCGCCAATTTGATTGAAGCGGAGTTCGAGCTTCATGAGCCACGGCGCTGCCCCGCTCGCGAGGACCTCCGCCAGCTGCGCTGCCTCCGCGTCGCCCCAGCCAAGGTGGCCGTAGTCCAGCTCCTCAGCCTTGCCAAACTGCTCCTCGAAGGCGGCCTCGTACAGCCGCTGCACCAGCGGCTTGTCGTCCTTGCCGTTGGTGAAGCTCTTCGTCTCCAGCTCCGCCGCGAAGCGAGACGGCAGAAGGGGAGGTCGCCGGCCACCGCCCTTCGTGCACTCGGTCACAAGGCTACCGCAAACGTACTCCTTATCGTCACGCATCTTGCTTAGGTCGAGTGACTTCTTGCCGTTCTTTGTCAGGCTCGCCCAGCTAGCCTCAGTGAAACACCAGCCGCGGTCAAAGTACTTGGCCACGTTGGCGCCCATGAGCTGGTCCTCCTTGTGGCCGGCAGGTAAACTAGTCAGCCGCAGCACGGTCGTTTGCGGGTGGGAGTAGAGCGTGCCGAGGCAGCCCAGGCCCTGCTTGAAGAGCGTGTTCTGCTCCTCGGTGCGCACGACGCCGTTGGCGGGGTCGGGGTGCTGGTGCAGCGAGAGGAAGTCCCAAAAGACGCCTAGCCGCCGGAATGCGTTGGGTCCGCTCAGCAGTGCCTTGAGTGCTTGTGCAACTCGGCGTAGGTTGTCGCCGTTCGGGTCGGGGTGGTCCTTGGTCAGCCACGGGTAGGAGAGCGCGGCGACGGGAAGCCCTTGGAAAGGTCTAGTCGCTTCGATGAGTTCGGGAAGGGAAAGGAAGGCCTCTTCGGGCAGTGCCTGGCGGTGAGTGAGAACGCCGCCCTGCTCGGCGTGATTGATGATCCATTGTGCATCGACGGCAGCGACGGCGCTGCTCGCGAGGACTGGCTCTAGGTCGCCGCCGCCGTACTTCCACCAACATTCGGCGGTGGATCCGGCGGTGGATCCGTTCTTGTCTCCACAAGGCGGTGGATAATACCACCGGCCCCGCCGCTCCTTGACCGCCTCGGGGTAGGCCTGTAGCAGCGCCAGCACCACCGCCTTCGACGCGCCCATCTCGCCGGCGCAATGCAGCGGCAGCATCTCCTTCTCGCCCTTCTCCTTGGCCGCCTCGGGGTAGGCCTGCAGCACCGTCAGCACCACCGCCTCCGACGCGCCGCTCGCGATGGCGCAGTGCAGCGGCAGCGTCTTCTTCTCGCCCCTCTCCTGGGCCGCCTCGGGGTAGGCCTGCAGCAGCGTCAGCACCACCGCCTCCGACGCGCCGCTCGCGATGGCGCAGTGCAGCGGCAGCATCTCCTTCTCGTCCTTCTCCTGGGCCGCCTCGGGGTAGGCCTGCAGCACCGCCAGCACCACCGCCTCCGACGCGCTCCACCTATCGACGGCAATGTGCAGCGGCAGCTTCTCGTTCTGGTCCCTCTCCTTGGCCGCCTCGGGGTAGGCGTGCAGCACCGCCAGCACCACCGCCTCCGACGCGCCCTTCCCGACGGCGCAGTGCAGCGGTAGCATCCCGTACTTGTCCCATTCCTTGGCCGCCTCGGGGTAGGCCAGCAGCAGCGCCAGCACCACCGCCTCCGACGCGCCATTCGACACGGCGTAGTGCAGCGGCAGCTTGTTGTCCTCGTCCTTCTCCTTGGCCGCCTCGGTGTAGGCCTGCAGCAGCGCCAGAACAACCTCCTCATCCACGGCGGGCTTCAGCTTCAAGTCGCCGTCATTGTCCACGCCCCGGCTCACGACCATCGCGCGGCCCTCGTAGATCACCTTCGCCCCAGCCTCCTTCGACTCGCCTTCGACCTCGGTCGCCTTGATGTAGTCGGTCTCGTAGACGGCCCACTGCAGTGGCAGCTTTCCTTCCTCGTCCTTCTCCTTGACCGCCTCGGGGTAGGCCTGCAGCACCGCCAGCACCACCGCCTCCGACGCGCCATTTGCGACGGCGCAGTGCAGCGGCAGCCTCTCGCCGTCGTCCTTCTCCTTGGCCGCCTCGGGGTAGGCCAGCAGCAGCGCCAGCACCACCGCCTCCGACGCGCCGCTCGCGATGGCGCAATGCAGCGGCAGCATCTCCTTCTCGCCCTTCTCCTTGGCCGCTCCTGGGCTCGCAGCAATTATCGCCAGCAGCTCGGCATCGGTGTCACCGCTCTTCAGCGCAGCGAAGAGATCTAGGATGGGCATCTTCGGCATCTTCCACACACCGCACGTCGTCGAGCGTGACAGCGCCTGAAGATTTTTCGCGAAGGACCCAGCCGAAATTTGTTTTTTCGCCTTGAGGGTCGATTCCGCATGACGGTTTTCTCAGCTAACACAGATAATATACACGAAATGCAAATGGACGAGGGCGGCGCTCTCGGCCACGCCGCGGGGCGGCGGCGGCTGCGCGGGCGGCGGCTTCGGCATCGCCATCACCACCGCCCCGGCCGGCGTCTGCCCGATCTTCGGGATGCCGTCGGTCTCTCCGCGGGGGAAGCTGCGCAATGCCATCAGCGCGGGGGCGACGTAGATGAGGAGGGAGCCGCCCGTGGCGCCTCCGAGCGCCGAGATCGTGTCGAGATCGATGCCGAGGGCGGCGACGCCGCAGAGCGCCGCGACCGAGGAGCAGACGACCGCGGGCCTGTTGACAGCTGGAGGTGAGAGCTCTGCTGTTCAGGCCCCGTGCGCCCAGCATGAGACCGCAGAGATTTCTGGCTGCCACCAGAGGGCGCTGCAGGGGTAACGACTCGCATCCCGGCTCATCTCGACCCCCTCCCGGCTAGAGTGCCGAGCCTCGCTGCTGCGGCGGGGGGCAGCTTGAGCATCTCGACGAGGGTCGTGCGGAAGGGCCTCTCGAGCAGAGGAAACTCGCACAGCACCGCCGCGCCGACGCCGAGCCGCGCCACCACCGCAAGCGGGTCCGCCGAGGCGTACGAGTTGAGGATGTTCGCGTCCGAGGCGGCGCCGAAGGTGAGGTATCGCCCTCTGCCGCCTCATAGGCAGCGACGCCGCCGCCACCCTTGCCGCCGCCACCCTTGCCGCCGCCACCCTTGCCGCCGCCACCCTTGCCGCCGCCCTTATCGCCGCCGATGCGGAGACGGCGCAGCAGCGGAGGGCTCAGGCGGCGCGCGTACTCGGCGAACTCCTCGTTGATCTCGGCGGCGCGCCGCAGCCGCACCGCAAGCCACGAGGGGGCCTCCTCCTCCGGCGCCCCCACCCTAGCGGCCTCCCCCGCCGGCTGCGGCGCCAGGGCCGTGAGGACGGAAGGAGCGTTGTAGTGCGCGAGGAAGGCATTCGAGACGAGAGAGACAAAGTAGGCGATGGCGCCTGAGGGGCGGAGCGTGGACGTGTCCTGGACGCGTCCCGGACGCAGCGCCACTCACGGGCGCAGAGGCGACGGCGCCGGCCGAAGGGAGCGAGCCGAGCCCTCCTCCACCGCCGCCTGCTCCTCCTCCTGCCGCCTCTGCTGAGGCGGCGCCGGCGTCCGCTAGCGCGGCGGCGTCGGCGGCGTCGTACGACCCGTCGGCGAGGCGGGCGATCATGCAGAGGGCGGTGACGAGGACACCTGGGGGGGGGGGGGGTTGGGTGGTGGTGGTGGTGGTGGTGGTGGTGGTGGTGGTGGTGGTGGTGTCGTAGGCGTGTCGCTTGGGCCAACAGCGTGGAGCGGTGAGAGGGCACCGGACTCCAAAGTAAGACGCCGTGCCGAGGGGTGCGAGGGAGGGGAGGAGGCAGAGCGGCGTGATGACGGAGGCGGCGCAGCCGAAGAGGACCGCCGTCCTCGAGACGTCCGCTGCCGGGAGCGCGAACAGCACGGCGAGCAGGTCGGTGCCGGTGTCCGCGATGACGGTGGCGCAGGCGATCGCTGCTGTGGAGCAGAGCAGGAGCGAGGCGACGGCGGGCAAGGCCGCGAGCCGTGGGCCGAGGGGAGGTCCAGGCGCCGACGTACGAGGGTTGCTCGGTCTCGACGCAGACACGGCCGATCAGAAGGAAGCCCCACGCGTTGAGGGCGCCGAAGAGGAGAAGGAGAGGCACCGCGAGAGCGATCGCCGACAACGATGAGTTTGTCAGCTCGCTGGAGCGGTACGACCCGTCAACGAACGAGTGGGAGGGGGAGGCTGTGGCGCCGATGCCGACGGCACGAGTCTATGTCGGCACTGCGGTGCTCGATGGCAAGCTCTACGTGGCGGGCGGCGAGAGTGAGGCTGACGGCGCAGCGTCCAACCTGGTGGAGCGGTACGACTTGGCTGCGAAGTCGTGGGAGGTGGTGGCGCCGTTGGCGTCGGCGCGGCAGGCTCACGGTGTAGCGGTGCTCGACGGCAAGGCATATGCTGTGGGCGGGTGGGGCGGCGGCGACAACCTCAGCTCAGTCGAGCGGTACGACCCTGCGACGAACGCTTGGGAGGCGGTGGCGCCGATGGCGACCGCACGGTATTCTCACGCCATGGCGGTGCTCGACGGCAAGCTGCACGCTGTTGGCGGGTACAACGGCGGCGAGGGCTACCTTAGCTCGGTGGAGCGGTACGACCCGGCGGCGGCGCGGCAGTCTCACGGCATGGCGGTGCTCGACGGAAAGTTGTATGCTGTGGGCGGAATCGACGATGACGGCGACCTTCTCAGCTCGGTGGAGCGGTACGACCCGGCGACGAATGCGTGGGAGGCGGTGGCGCCGATGGCGACGGCGCGGTTTGCTCTCGGCGTGGCGGTTGTTTGACGGCTGCTGTGGGGGGGGGGGGGGGGGCCGTGGGCCCCTCAAAAAAAAAAAAATTCTTAGCTTCAGCCCCCCTCCGAGACTAGGGACAGAACCCAGAGATACATACGTCAAAGGGACTGCGCCTCGCCCCCACTTGCCCTGACTACACAGGATAGCGTGCCCCGATAACGGCGACACATAGTGGGGGACACTGCGCAAGGAGGGGGTGCGAAGGCTCATTGGGGTACTAGGTGGGACCATGAGGGGGGGTGGGCGGGGTCCTGTGGGGGTGAAATGTTGCGCGGCGAATTCGAACCTACCCCCTCGCCGCGCCGATCCTCACGCGGAGGGTAAAACCCTGTGGGACAAAACCCCCCCGCGGTCGGCAGTCTTCAGAGTGGACCCCCCCCTCCCCAGCCTCCCCTGTGCATCTCGCACCCCCCCCCGCTCCCCATCGGTGACTCGCGAAGGACACGGACACTCGGGGTGAGGGGGGGTCCCCCCGGAGGGGGCTCTGGGGCATTGTTGGGTTGATCGCTCGTGCCGGTCTCGGGTCGATCTCGGGTCGATCTCGTGTCGATCTCGAGTCGATCTCGGGTCGATCTCGGGTCGATCTCGGGTCGATCTCGGGTCTCGGGTCGGTCTTGGGTCGGTCTCGGAGTGGTCTAGAAAAGAAAAAAATGCGGGGCGAGATGAGGCGAGATGAGGCGAGGTGAGGCGAGGTGAGGGGCGATGAGGCGAGATGAGGCGAGATGAGGCGAGGTGAGGCGAGATGAGGCGAGATGAGGCGAGGTGAGGCGAGATGAGGCGAGATGAGGCGAGTGGCGAGATGAGGCGAGATGAGGCGAGATGAGGCGAGATGAGGCGAGATGAGGCGAGGTGTACCTCGGCGAGATGAGGCGAGGTGAGGCGAGATGAGGCGAGCGGGTGAGGCGAGATGAGGCGAGGTGTGAGGCGAGATGAGGCGAGGTGAGGCGAGATGAAGCGAGGTGAGGCGAGATGAAGCGAGGTGAGGCGAGATGAGGCGAGATGAGGCGAGACTAGGAGGCGAGATGAAGCGGGATGTTGTGTGGCTGCTTGTGCTGCCAAGCAGGCAGCACAAGCAGCCATACAAGTGAGCTTTGGGGTTGTGTGGCTGCTTGTGCTGCCTGCTTGGCAGCACTTGCTGCCACACAACATCCCGCTTCATCTCGCCTCTTAGTCTCGCCTCATCTCGCCTCATCTCGCCTCACCTCGCTTCATCTCGGCTCACCTCGCTTCATCTCGCCTCACCACGCTTCATCTCGCCTCACACGTCGCCTCATCTGGCCTCACCGGCTCGCC